CGGGGAGCGGTTCGTCTGGTGGCCGGGAGCCGGGAGCGCCGCCGGCCCGGGGCGCGGATCTGCTTTGTGCTTCTCTGCCGTTTCCGTGCGCTGGTGCTCCGCGCCCACGTCCCGCGCTTCAGCCTCGAGCTGCCGCTTGACGCCGAGTGAAGGTGCCATCGACTTCACAGGCACCCGCGCGTGTGCGTGCAGTCGAGTGATCCCGAGGAGTGATCCCGAGGGGTGACCCCCGCCCCGGAGCCAGTGAACTGTGTCCCCGCAGAACGGGTTTCTCAAACTCCTCCTTTGGGGCTAATGCTTTACCAAGGCGCCGATGTCTGTGTGCCCCTGCAAAGCTGACAGACGTTGCAGGGAGTGCTGTATCTCAGGTGCTTTGGAAAGGGGGCCTCCACTCTGCTTAGCAGGGAACTCAAGTGGCAGTGGTGACAGTCCTGGAGCAGCGTCGGTGTCCTTCATGGCTCTGCAGTTACCTGTGCCGGGGGTGCTGGGAACACTGTGTCGTTGGGTAGATCTTTCCCGTAAGGTCTTTTGCTAGCAAACCACCAGCCAGTTTCTTCCTCCCACCCCTTTGGCTTTATAGTACCTCACTGTCTAGTAATATGTAGTCTCTGCTGTAGTAGTAAAGGCAATGTGCAGGTTCCAAATAATTCAAAATAATAAATAGTAGCAAATGTGTTTGTTAGGTTCCAAACAGGCTTCCAAGGATACTTCAAAGATGTACCTAAATTTCAGAGAGTAGGTGCAAACTGACAGGACTGAGGTACCAGCGCTATATCTGGCAGCGCAGCATGCAGAACCAAGTGTCCTGCTCTTCTCGCATTTTAGCGAGACCTTGCATTGATCTTTGCAGGAGAAGTTGTCTCTCTTGCATTTCCTACAAGATAATGGTGGGCTGTGTGCTTTAGAAGTTCTCATCAGATTTCTTTGCTACTCAGCTCTTTTGAATTATTGTCTTGTTTGTCATCATTCTTAAGTTCAAAAAAACCTGTTCCTTACAATTCTTCCCTTTAATTCCTCACCTTTCCTTGTACCTGTACGCTTGCTGTGTTTTACTGATTATACTCCTATTTTACATGTTGCCCCATTAAAGACTAAAGCTGAAGTTGCACAAAAATCCCCTATACTGCCTTGCAAGCCACAGATGTGTCCTCTCTAGGTATTCAGTCAGGATCTGCTAATGCCAAGACAGGTGTCTTCTGTCTTTATTGGTCTTGCTAGCCAGCTTTAAAAACAGTTTAAGGACTTTTTATCAGGTAAAATGAGATATAATAGGACTCCTTATGGGAATTTTATTGTGGTTGCCATTTGGCCATTCTGTGTTTGGATGCAAGTTCTGCTTTCAGCCTGACACTTGCCAACATTTGAGGCTGATAATGTTTTTCTGTTTCTCTCTGAAGGTTTTACGGTTTAAATAAAACTATTTCAGCTTGGCACATAGTAGACTAAAATAGGAAAATCTTTATCCAGTAAGGGGTAAAGAAGTAGTTGCATGGAAATTGAAAGACTGAATTTGATCCTTGGGGATGATCATTTCTGTCTTCTCAAGGTTGCTGAATTTTCTGCCGTGGGGGGGGTACAAAGCACTCAAGCTGCTGAAGTAATTTTCATAGTAGTACCTAAACAAAAACATGTCAAACTTACTGTTCACAAAATGTGGACACAGCAGGGGGTAGCAAGAGTTGAATCAGCTAACAATAACTTTCTTCCTTTCTAAAACAGTGGACAGACTTAACTTATGTTCGTGCTTTCAGGATGATTATGTTGCATTGAATCTTAATGGCCATAAGGTTTTCAGTAAAGGAGGTAACATCACTTAAAACCTATAGGAACAATGTAGTTGTTCTATGATGTTGCTTTGCAACAACAATGATTTGTATCATCTTTGTCCATTTTATTATGTAAGGTGAAACTGAAAAATACTGTCTGTGCAGTGTACTGTTGCTGTGAAAAATCAACTTCTGCATCCCCTGACGTTGCTGTTAACTGTACAGTGTATTGTATTAGAACTAAACTGTTTGCATAAAATGCACTTGGTTCTGCCACTTAAATGGGATATGGGCTGTGGTTGCTTTTTTAAATCATTCATAACTGCTGTAATTGCCAAAATTCATTTGTAGGCTCTGAGAGCCTGTGCATTTGTCCTTTGAAGTTGTACAGACGGGACTGCTTACTGTGTAACGTGTGAAAAAAGCTCACACCTCAAAGCTTAAAGAAATTCAGCACAATACAAAGTTATGGCAGAGCTGGAAGTAGATCTTGGATTTCCTGGCTCTTCTCTGCAGCTTCTAACAGTCTTAACCCCTTTTTTTTTTTAAACTTTTGGAACGTATCCATTGTTGATTTTTACTTGAATTTCTTGCATTGCATCCATGCAACCTTACTGTTACAGAGCATTTCTAAAAAGAAAACTTGAATTAACCGTTTTAACACTTCCTTCTTGAATGTCTTTGTTACAGTTTATATCTGTTATCTGCAGATGAAGCCTAATTATTCATTTTGTTGAATTTGCTCTTTTCCTCTTTCAGCCGAGTGGTTTTACCTTGCTCAGTGCAAGAGGTATGTCCTCATCCAACCTGCTTTTGTTTTGGGGTGAAGGGTGGGAAGATGTGTCTTAATTTAAATCTGACTAGTCTGTATCCAAATGTGTCCTGTGCTGTGTGCCCAGCAGTCTGCCACAGGTAAGTTACTGCATGAGTAAGCCACCAGTTGAGCAGAGTTAACCTCTTGCAGATTAGTGGATTTCAAAGGAGGCAAATGCCTGTCAGGCAGAGAACCTTTAGTTGTTTCTGAGCCACTCCACAGCTTACAAGCAAGAAAAGAAAGTTGTGAAATTCTGCACTGCAGCAGAATTTTCCTGCTGATCAAGGCATTGAGTGACTCCAAGTCTTTTCCTAAAGGCAAAGGTAGGAATCATCTTCCAAGATCTGAAGCCAGCTATTTAAATGGTACTGAGATATATTTAAATGAAAGTCATGGTAGGATGTCTGAATGTACTTCTGAGGGAAAATGTTATGCTTGCTTTCTTCTGCAGTTTGCATTTTGAGTCCTGGGAGGGCAGTATCTAGTTGGTTAAAAGTATGAATTTGGGACGCTCATAGCTGGAAAGCAGTCACTTCAAAATCTGTAAACTAAAAATTATATTTCTTTTATACAATTAAGAACAACATATATACTTTGCTTTTAGGATGAGAAAAATGAAGAATAATGCATTTGGTATACTATACAAAAGTGTTGCATTAATATGAAACAAGCTGATTATAGACCTGGTGCTTGTGATCTACAGATAGATTTTGCCAGCAGATTGTCATACTTCACTAAATGTTTTTTATATGGTGTATTTTACTTCCCTGATAATCTTGCTTGTACTACCACATTTTCACTGGAAACAGCTAAATTTTTGTATGCATTAAAAGTTTTGGCTAACTTTAAAATTGAAATTTTACTTCTCTTAAATTTTCAGTATCAAGTTGGGCAACTTTATTCTGTGGCAGAAGCTAGCAAAAATGAAACAGGAGGCGGTGAAGGAATTCAAGTCTTAAAAAATGAGCCTTATGAAAAGGATGGCGAGAAGGGACAATATACTCACAAAATCTATCATTTAAAGAGGTGAGAAAAACATTGATACGTGTTATGGTCAGTTGATATTGAGTGAGAAATGTTTAAAAGTGAGGGCAGCCTTCCATTGCTTACTCTTCTGGGGTACTTACTTGCATTTTTCTGCCAGTCTGTAATTTGCTGAATTGTGCATGAATGCTCTGGTGAGTGAGAAAACATGTGAAATACAGTGGATTTTAAATATGTGGGACAGAGTAATGGAGAACTGTGCAGAATGTCCAATATGTGAATAGGCAAATGCATCTCTAAGTAAGAATAATTTGAATGCTTAGTAGATAGCTGAAATGATGGGTTGGTATCACAGATGCTTTGTAGGATAGCCCAAAAGACAGGAGTGTTGATATAGGAGGATAGAGAAAAGGAGAATGTTTATTGCATTATAAAGGAAGAATGTTTTCATATGCTTTGGTATTTAAGAAAGAGTTCTTATTGGCTGAATGCTCTTTAAAAACACTCTATAAGGCATCACACAAGTTCTTGTGGTGTGGTAGGGTAGTTTTTCTGAGAGAGAATGAGTAAGGTAAAGAATATTTTCAGAAGTTACATACATTTCACAGTGGGTAAAACCTGGCTTATTTGGAAAACTGACCCAAAAGGGGTCTGAACATTTAGAGATTAACAGTTGATGTTACTCTAGAGGGCTGCAGTACCATAAAGGCAGCCACATTGTTAGGATTTGTAATATGTTGTCAAGTTGTGAGGATTAGTATTCCAAATGTTTATAATTGGGGAAAAAAGGTCTAGAAAGTTGAAGAATTGAGTATGTTTACACTTGGCTACCTGTTGGAGAAGCACAAAGACAACATGGGAAATAAATGCTGTACAGCAGTACTGTTCAAAAGCATCTGAATGTTTAGTGTCTCAGCTATGCGAAAGTAAACATGAAGGCAAACTTTCTTCAGGGCTCTGTTATGCAGGATTGTTGCGTGCACAGTATGGATTGTAATTAATTTTAGTTGGCTTTGGGCATTGGACTTTCAGATGTGCACAAACTAGAGAGAGACTAGAGGGTAGAAAGTAAGCATGGGCAGCATGACTCGTATGGAAGAGCCGAAAGAATTGTGTTTGCTTGCTCTAGAAAAAGAGAAGTCCCAGATAAATGGGACATAAGGTTCCTGTGATGTAAAAAAGGAATCATCAGTTGTCTTTTTCCCTTGAATCTAAAAGAAAAAAGGACAGGAACTTATTCACCATCCTTGGAGAAAAATTGAGGATGGGACGCTTACATAGATTGAACTCTGTCTGTCCCTTATGCACATGTGTACACATAGTTTGTTCAAACTCACCTACTTAAGGGCACCAGCCTCAAGTATTCTCCTAGGTAATACCAAATTTCTCTTGTACCAGATTTTGTTACTTTTGTCCCAAGCATCCAATTTTTGGCAACCGTCATGGGCACTCTGTTGGACTAAAGAGGACAATTATTATCAGAGGTGGTAATTCTGCTTATGGTGAGCTGCATTTTTCCTCTTCAAGCGTGGTTGAAATAGCTGAAGGGCCTTCCATCTAGAATGCCGGCCAGCCAAGTTACAAGCTTGCTCACTGATGAACCCGCAGTTTTGCTAGAGAGTTTGGAGGTGGCATGTCTTGGGCAGCGCTCTCCCTCAACACTTGTCTTTGCTGTCCTTGAAAAGAAAGCACAGCTTTCATTGTGATCATAGTGCTTCCAAAATTATTTCTAGCTCACTCTCAATTATCTGATTATTACCTTCCCTGGTTTTTTTCTTCATTATGTTGTGATCAGTAAAATTGCTAGAGTTCCAACATATTTAACTGTGGGTAACTTGTGCATCATAACCTTTAAGGTGCTTAGGTAGAATGTGCCTTTCTTATTAGCGTGGAAGATATCAGTGAGGAATTTCAGCTGGCAGAAATTTAAAAAATATTGTCAATGTTTGTTTTTCACAGTAAAGTTCCTGGTTTTGTAAGGATGATTGCTCCAGAAGGCTCCCTGGTGTTCCATGAGAAGGCTTGGAATGCATATCCCTACTGTAGAACAAGTAGGTCTACTGTTGTGTGTTTTGCTGTCAGTGTTCAGTTGAGGGATAGTCTTAAACAGTTTAGGAGAAAAGCGGATGCCATCATGTGGAAAATATATTTCAAATTTTAATGTTGCGTTTGTGAGATCTCCTCTTCTGAAAATGAGAGGTGCTTCTGAAGAGCAACCTCGAGGGACTAGTTACTGGTTCCTCCAGAGTCTTAGTATCCAGTGTCCCTAGGGTAAGACTGAAGAGGTGATTCTCTTAAGGTCTAGAACAGAGAGTTTGAAAGGAATTTAATTCTTCATAGTCTGTTAGAATAAGGAGATTGCTTTATTTGAATACTTTTAATTGCGTAGGTTCTAAGAGTAGGCTCTATTTCTTTTGTGTTTCTGTTGAATACTTTGAAATATCTTATAACAAACTTCTAAGGTTAAGGCCAGCAAGTCAAAGTCTGCTGAACTCTGCTGACTTGATGCACACAAATGCTGTTAGACTAATTTTGAATGTTTCTTACGCTGTGAAGCAATCATTTTATGCAAGACTTTTCAGAAACAATTGTATCTAATAACACTTTGTGTTTCCTTTTCATTTTCATTGCATGTGTTTCCAATGACCAGTTGTGACAGTGAGTATTTGAATTACTATCAGTCCTGTGTTGGGTTTTTTTAAATATATTTTATCTGTTATTACTGCTAAAATTGACTGTGACTCTAGCAAGCTAGCTTCAACCTTTTATATATGCCTTGTGAGGGTTCCTGGCATAGAGCTCCTTGTTACTTTATTTTTCTGCACATGGCTATAATTAGAACTATTATTTGTCAGAGAAATGTTTTCATGTTTTGTATCTTCTTTTATGCCTTTACTTACCATTACAGCAGCATAATATCTGTCCTGGTAAGACATAAGGCTAAAAAAGGGGGAGGAAAAAAAAAAAAATCCAAATCCAGCGTTTCTACACTCTTGAATGCAGGAAGAGCAGTGAAATAAAATCAATCCCTAAATGTCCGAAATCCCATTTCTGTAAAGTGAAATCCTGCCTCAGTTAAAATGGGTTAACTGAGAAACTAAATGGATCATCATAGCTGGGCACTTGGGGTTTTCTGGTTTTTATTTAAGATGCGTGGGAAAGAGATCATTAAGACTTTATTTCCCTGTGTATATATTTTGGTGACCTGTTTAAGGAAGCTTAGAAGTTTAATGTTAAATTGCTTTATCTGCTCACTTGCAAACTTGATTTAGATTGTCACTAGGTGGATGCAACATAAGGAGTAACAAATCAGTTTGTGAATTGTTTAGCTTGACTCATCATGATACATGCGCACACTGGTATATGCTTTCTTCTGAAATTGGAAGCGTTCTGTGCTAGTCTTTAGACATACAGTTCAGTGGTAGCTGGACCTTTATTATCATAATTGTGCTATACAGTAACATCTAGTGTTTATTATCTATTACCCCTGCCTCAGAATAGTCTCACTTATTAAAAGTTTCAAGCAAATGTATTTTAGGGTTTTTTTGTCTTAACTGCAGTATTCATAATTTGAAAATTACTTGAACATGGAGGTAAAGAATTTCAGGGTTGAGGAAGGATGGTAAATGACAGTATTATTTCTATTTGTATGCAAGAGTTAGAGATGGATTTCTCAAACATAGCTGGTTTTAATTTACTACTTACTGCCGTAGCTGATACTTAAGATTTAGATACTAGTTATCTCATTGTACCTATTTCTGCATGTGGGTAAGGGAGCTGTTTCTTTTATATTTAATTTTATAATTTATAATTAATATAATTTTATAATTTGGAATATGTTGCTAGTCAAGGCTTTGTAGTGACTTATATGTAAATATCATTTATCTAAACTTTAAGCACAGAGGTGTATTCAGACTCATGCTTTTTGATTTAATTCTTACAGAATGAATATATGAAAGATGACTTCTTCATAAAAATTGAGACCTGGCATAAACCAGATTTGGGGACATCAGAGAACGTGAGTTGGGATTTGGATACCAAGTATTAGTAATATTTTCAACATATAGTCATCCAGATAAAGTATTCTATACTGCATAAAGTCAAAGCCCTACAAGTGATAATGTAAAACAAAGAAAGCATTATTCAAATCCTTCTAACGTGGTCAGCTGTCTCACCTAATGAGATGCAAGAAAAAGAAAAGGTTTTTATTTTTTGTGTTGAGGCCAATGCAGACGCTTGATTCTCACTCAAATATTTAAATAGATTTTCAGTAAGTTCTTTTTAATTTCATGTTTTTACCTTAGACATGCTTGTGCTACTTAGGCTGACAAGTTTGTTTGAAAACAGGTTTCACAAGGCTATTGGAGTTTATCTGCATACACTTCTGTAGAGTTATATATTGAAGCAGCTTCTGCAAATTTTCCAAGCTGGCAATACTCTTGTTTTCCTCTCTAAATAGTTGGTTTGGTTCACAGGTCTCTTCAGCTGTTTTTTTACTATAGTGACAAACTTATCCATAAACCATTCACAAAGGAATAGTTGTCAGTATATTTTCAGTGTTTGGATGAACTGTAGCAATGGATATGCTACAGAGAAGGAGAATATTTCTTGGACAGCTCTGCTTGCTGTAATTGTAAGTTTAGGTATGCCTGACAGACTACAGGTGTGAAGCTGATTACATCTTCAGACCTTCATATACCTTCATATGACACACACTTCATCTGGTCTGTATTAAAGGCAGCCCTATGATTTAGGGAACCTACTAGATTTAGTCAGGTTATTGAAACCTGCCATATTCGCACTTTAGAATTTGTGCAGCTCCTTTCTAGATCAAAAAGCTCATGCAGACTACCAAATGGGTAATGTTTCTAATTAGAGGTTGATTTCATTAGCACTAACAAATGTGACAGAAGAATACAGCTTAATCTTAAATCCAGGTTTCCTGAATGCACAAGAAGTGAAGGCTTTGTGCTGGTTTAAAATTGGTTAGTGAGTGAATTTGAACTGTAACTGTGGAGATTATTCCTTTTTAGAAAGGCAGAGGAAGAAAGGATAGGTTTTGAGAACACTGCCTTTATGAAGGCCAGAAAAAATCCATGGCACGCATACGTACTGCATAAGGTGCCTCGCTGTGTGAGGTGACAGCATGGAAATCATTCCTTTTCCTCTTTTTGCAGGTGCACAATTTAGATCCAAACACATGGAAGACTGTTGAAATTGTCCATATTGACATTGCAGATAGAACTCAAGTAGAACCAGGAGTAAGTAAATGCTCTGCTATTGGGATATGGATGTAACATGCAGCTAATTCTGTTGATGCTTTGTGTTGATTGTGAATAAACTAAAATGGTATGGAATTTACCCAACAGATAAATGAAAATTGTCTTGAATAGAATCATTCATTCCAAAGTTCCACACTTAGTAAATGCATTTACAACTTCTGTCTACTGAATTTGACTTCTAGTTGCACAACTAAGACATGAAGGGCAACAGGCTTTTGGCACAAGTGTAGTGTTTACTTTCAATTGTAGATAAAGTAATTGATTTGGTCAAGCAAGCATTTATGTTCTCACTGTGGTGCGTGAGACCAAGTGCAAGAATCTATCCCAGCTGTCCTGCATGACAGAGCACAGTGTCTCCACCAAGCTACTCCTGTGCTTCTGCTGCTACTTCTTGGTTACAAATTCTTTAAATTAAATTCTGTCCCTCCACACATCCTTCACTCTGGGGTTATGGCAGTCTCAAGAGGATCAATCAGGTTTTGCCATTGAAATCTAGACCTGTTTTTTTGTTTTTAAACTTTTTTCATCAGAGCATCTCAAGACATGAACTGCTCATCTCTTCCGAAAGCTGTGGGATTACTTTTTCAGTTTCATCTTTAGTGATTGTTTTGACAAACATAAGTGTCCTGGATATGCCCAGAAGTCTATGCATAGGAGTCTGTGGTTTTTTCCCTGAGAACTTTAAGCTTAGTATCTTGATATAAGAAGCAAAAATTTAGAAGGACAGATTTTATTAGTAAGACTGTGTGGTTACTCAGTGAATTTGTACACAGAGCATGGGTGTAAATTTGGAAGGAGTGTCTTCACCAGGATTGCGTGGAGTCTTACCTTGCTTACATGTGTGACGGAAGTAGGTGGCGAGATGAAGAAGTAAGTTTAGCAAAGTTTAGTGCTGGGCATGCACACTTTCAACTTGCCTTTTCAATAGGTCTTTGCACAGAAAAGACAGTACTACCCTGAATGTGATTGTATCAAATTCTACTGAAATAAATACGTGAAAGGATTTCTAGTTAAGCTTTATCTGCCATGTTGAGATTTTGCTGACAGTTGTAATAGTTCCCATTCTTGTCCCCTCTGTTGTCAGTTTTTTGTTAACCAGCTTGTAGTCATATGTTTGGGTTGGAAGGGACCTTCAGAGATCATCTAGTCCAATCCCTTTGCCATGGGTAGGGATATCTTTCACTACATGAGGTTGCTCAAAGCCCCATCCAACCTGGTCTTGAACACTTCCAGGGATAGGGCATCCACAACTCCTCTAGGCAACCTGTTCCTGTACCTCACTACCATCACCATAAAAAAAAAAAAATCTTGCTTATATACAATCTAAATCTACCCTCTCAGTTTAAAACTGTTGCCTCTTGTACTGTCACTACAGGCCTTGGTAAAGTCTTTCTCTATCTTTCTTATAAGCCCCCTTTATATATTGAAAGGCTGCAGTGAGATCTTCCTGGAACCTTCATGTCTCCAGGCTGAACAACCCCAACTCTCTCAGCCTTTCTGCACTGCAGTGGTGTTCCAGCCCTCAGATTTTCATGGCCCTCCTCTGGACCCACTCTAACAGGTCCGTCTGTGTCTGTCTTGTGCTGGGGACCCCAGAGCTGGATGCAGTACCACAGGTAGGGTCTCACCAGAGCGGAGCAGAGGGGCAGAATGCCCTCCCTCGACCTGCTGGCCACGCTGCTTTTGGTGCAGCCCAGGATATGGTTGGCTTTCTGGGCTGCAAAGCACACGTTGCCGGCTCATGTCCAATTTTTCATGGTGTGTATGATTAATCTGCGTAAGAAGGTAGGACATGTTGATTTTAGATGCTGCTTTATGCAACTTTAGAGGACAGCTTCACTGTACTTATTTATGTGCCTGCCTTACTTCCTTGTTTTTACTGCTGTTGCTTTCTACACATCTGGGCTTGTTGTCTGGTTTGTTTAATTCTAGCAGCTGGACTGTTCTATGTCTAAACATTAATTTTTGGTAGTAGGAAAATGGTATGCACTAATATTGACAGTAATTTGTGTTCACACAATAAATTTTATTCTCTCGATTTTGTGCAAGGAGACTTTCTTTATACTATTTAATTATTACTTTCTAAAAATAAATACTTGGATATCTGGCATTGTGGGGAGAGGATCCCTTTGCAGGAAAGTAGAGGAAGGAGGGGAAAGGCTGTGGTGTGTGAAGGGGGAAAGGTTTCTGCTTCATAAATTTCCATTTGCGTTACCAACATAGGTGTATAACCTGCACTGTTGCTTAACTAATGTTTAACGGATTATCTGTGGATTTACATGTGTGAAAATACATTGTTTGGAGAACCTCCCTGTAAACCAAATTAAATATGTCTTGCCTATTTTAATGCAGCGAGGAAGCGTTTTGCTGCCCCTTGTTCTTTCAGACATTCCATATGACCTTAGAGCTGACCTGGCAGGTAAATGTATGTTGTGCATTCCCTATTCCATGCCTGGAATTGTGGCAGACAACTACAATGCTGTCATCTGTCAGAGTGCTTGCTTGACCACAGTATGTGTAAACAAAGAGTTGTGCTTATTACTGTGTGTTGAACTTAAGTATTTATTCTGTTTGAAGTACTCTTAGTGAGCAGCACTGCTCATGCTGTATGCCCTCTTGCACTATTGGATTACATGGCCTGCCTTTGATATTGCCAGTTTCCTTTGTACTGAAGACTGACAGATGGTGGTATGCTAAAACAAGTTATATTTTTGGCTCGGGACAAAGATCCATCTAACCCAGTATCCTGTTAGTGGCCAGTAGCAGATACTTGTGGAAGGATAAGAAACTTGGGAAGTATATACTAGAAGCTGGGAGATGCATATCTCTGAAAGATCAGTCTATATTTAAAGGACTTCCAGAGCTACTGGTTGTATCTGGCCTGTTGTGTTTATTAGCCACTTATATGCCCATAAGTACATCTAATCCATTTTTTAACCCATTTATACTTTTGATCTTTATGACATCATAAATTCTGTAGAGTGCTAGATGGTATGGAGATATTTTCTTTTTGCCTGACTGATAATTTAATTAATTTGTTGGGGGTGGGGATGTTTCCTATTTATATTTTCTGCATAATTTATCTTACAGATTTTGATCATATTTTCTTTTTCTTCCCCTACCTCTTTTTTAGCATATCTTTCCAAGCTGAGGGTCCTTATCTTTAAGTCCATCTCCATGTAGAAGCCATTTCATGTGGGGAAGTTGTTGGAACTATTTTCAGTGCATTATCCTCTTTTTTCTTTTTTTTTTCCTTTTGTATATTTGACCTACAGAGTATCAAAACTATGAGTGCAGAGTGGTTTAATCCAGAGTCTTAAGTCTCTTCTGATGTTTCTACATTCTCTTTCTTTTTTGGTAACTTCTAACACCATTTGCGCTTTTAGCAAATATTTCAAGAAAATATTTTCAAATTCAAACTCACAGTGTAGCCCGTTGTTGTGTAGGAATACCTGGGACTAATTTTCACCATGTGATTCAAATTTTCATTTCCATTTCATCTCCCAGAAATTCAGTTTTGCAAAGTCCTGACTTCATTAAATAAAGGCTGACATTGTACTCAAACTCTTATGCAAACTTTGATAACTCTGGTTATCTGTAGGCTGACACCCTTTCCGCTCTACTTGTTTGCCCCCTTTCCTAGACAGTTAAGGATTAGTTAGCAGAAATTCTTTGGGACCCACACTTGTAGTCTCTTCTGTTATGAAAATTTGCAGTTTCTGGCCTTTGATTTCTCTCTCTTTACTGCTTATGACTCCATGAGAGAGACTTTCCATTTATGCTAATATGTTTATGAAGGTTAGGTAATGGAACTTGAGGAATTTTTTTTTGAAGTTTAGCTACATCGTAGTAACAAAATTGCCATGATCTACATGCTTACTTTATGCCTTTGGAGAAGGCTGCTGGTTTTGGAAAGTATATGTCCCCTATGAAAGCATTAGCTGTTCTCCATGTATTCTATTTGTCCAGAGGTTCTTTTCCTACAGTTTCTTTGTCTTTGTTCAGTGATATTAGAGCAGTCACTAGTTCACTCTGTTGGGTAGTTTCTGAAATCATGTGCATTGTATGGCTTCTTTTTTTGTTGTTATGATGCTTCTTTGGGAATTACATTTCTAGGTGGCTGGGTGGGTTTTTTTTTTGGTATGCTTTTTTTTTTTGGTATGCTTTTTTTTTTTGGTATGCTTTTTTTTTTTGGTATGCTTTTTTTTTTTGGTATGTTTTTTTTGGGGGGAAAAGGAATAGTCAGGTATTGCCAAAGGAAAGTTTTATTTGCACATTTATTTTCTCAGTCATAGTTTTGCCTGGAAAAGCAACTCAAATGTACTGTCTTGGATAACAGTATGACTGAAAGATGGAACTATGTTTATAAGATCCAGCTATTTTGATAAAAGTTTTCATATATTCAAGATTTATCCTTTTGTTCAGTGAATGAACCTTGTCTAACCCATTGTAGTGTAGCAGTTATTTTAGTTTCAGAGCTACAATCAGCATAAATATAAAAATAGTAAATGTCTTTTAAGATACTAATGGCATGCATATGCTAACTCATGCTTGTTTAAGTATGTATAGAAATAATTTGGCCGACATCTGTGGCTTGCTTTAGATATAAATTTAACCCTGCCCTCTCTTAATCATCTCCAGCATATAATCTGTGTAGCTTTACGTGATTTGTATATAAAAATCACTTCCCAGGAGAGTAAGACTTTTTGAAGAGTAAGCAGAAGTGAACACTCAATTAACATCAGAAGAGGCTACATTTTTTGAAACGATTTGTAAGAAAGTAGAGTGTAGTGAAAACAAAGAAATTGAAATCAGGTTTATAGCTATTTTTGTACAATGAAGAAATTAAATGTCTTGTTCTAGGTTGTAGTGGATCTTCATTATATTACTTGAAACAAAGTTCTAAAAATACAATTTTATACAAATCAGTCAAATTACTGTGTGCCTTGAGATATCCCTTGTTCTGCAGTTTGAAGAAA